TTTTGATTGGTGCATTCAGTCCATTTATGTTTCAGGTAATTATTGATAGGTATCTACTTATTGCCATTTTATTAACTGTTTTCTGTTGTATTTATAGCTCCTTTCTGTTCCTTTCTTATACTCTTCTCTTGCTATTTGATGGTTGTCTTTATTGTTGTGATTAGATTTCCCTTTTTAAAATTTTTTATGCATCTATTGCAGGCTTTAGTTTTGTGATTACCAAAGGTTCAAGTATAGCTTCCTTACTATATAACAGTCTGTATTAAGTTGCTGATTGCTCTATTTCAAACACAATCTAAAGGTACTTCACTTCTTCCTCCTCCATATCTTATTTATTAGATGTCATAATCTTCACCTTTTGTATATCCCTTGACTGATTTTGTGTGTAGTTGATTTTGCTTCTTTTGTTTTGTTTTAATTTCATATTTGCTTGGTAATTAATTGGTCTACTGCCTTTACTGTGGGTTTAGTTTCACTGGTGAAAGCTATTTAGCCTTAGAAACATTTCCAACTACAGCAGTTTTTTAACATATCCTGAAATGCTGATTTAGTTGTTATAAATTATTTGAGCCTTTGTTTATCTGGAAATTGTTTAATCCCTGCTTCAAATTTAAATGATCATCTTGCTGGGTAGAGGATTCTTGGTTGAAGTCCCTTCTGTTTCAGTACATTAAATATTTCATGCCACTCCCTTTGGCCTGTAATGTTTGTGCTGAGAAGTGTGCTGATAGCCTGATGGGGTTTCCTCTGTAAGTAATCGTTTTTCTTTCTCTAGCTGCTTTCAGCCTCTCTCCTTATCCTTGATCTTTGCCATTTTAATTATATGTCTTGATGTTGTCTTCCTGGGGTTCCTTTTGTTAGGGGCTCTGTGCACTTACATGACCTGAGTGTCTATTTCCTTCCCCAGATTGGGTAAATTTTCAACAATTATTTCCTCAAAGATACTTTCTAACTCTTTGTCTCTCTCTTCTCCTTCTGGTACCCCTATTATGCAAATATTGTTTCATTTGGATTGGTCACATAGCTCTCTTACCATTCTTCCATTCCTAGAGATACTTTTTTCCCTCTGTTCCTTAGCTTAGTTGTATTCGTGTTCTCTAATTTCTATCTCATTGACTGTCTCCTCTACCTGCAGCAATCTACTATTCATTCTCTCCACCACATGTTTCATTTCAGTTACTGTATTATTCAGCTCTGAGTTGCTCTTTTTCAGCTCTTCTGTCTTTTTTGAAGTCCTCCTGAGATCTTAACTACTTTTCTGTAAATCAGTGAGCATGTTTATGACATGTTTTACTTTGAAATATTTACCAAGAAGATTGGTGATCTCTGTTTCATTTAGCCCTCTTTATAGTGTCTTGTCCTATAGTTTTGTTTGGAACTCTGTCTCCTCATTTTGTTGGGGTTTCTGTGTTTCTTTCTTTGTAGTAAATGGCTCTGCTATGCTTCCTGGCCTATAGAATAATAGCTTTATAAAGGATGTGTCCTATTGTGCCTAGAGGTTCAAGACTCTTTACTCTCCTGGTTCTACTTCGTGGGCGATCCAGTTGCTGTTGGTGTCCAATGGGTGGGTCTGCCTTTCTGTCTGTGTGCTGGAAGCAGTCTGAGTGTGCAGCACTGGCAGTTTGCTTCAGCTACCTTTATGATCAGAGCAGAGGCCTCTGCTGGGATTTTTGTGAGTGAGGCTGCCCTCTGCCTGCCCTGTTGTGATGGTGAAACCTCAGGGTTAATGGGGTGGCAGGGGCCATTGTGCAGCTCTGGGGTAGGGCAGGACATGCAGCACTGACTTGGACACCTGTGGGGAGGAAGGAGCTCTTGGAGCTGGCTCCTGTAGGCACCTCCACAGTTTGGCTGAAACAGAGCTGAGAAAGCTGGGAGAGTCTCTCTCAGCCTCCCAGGCAGCAAAGTCTGATACTGCTTCTGGGCCAAACAGGTTGGCTTACTGGCTGTGCGAGCAGGGAGGCACCTCAGGGCTGAGTTGCCAGCAAGTAGAATGGAGCATCTGGGGCTCCCTAGAGTTCCTGACCTTTTGGGCCAAAGTAGGGCTGGGGAGATATTTTCCACCTGCCCTTTATCCTAAGGAGAGAGCTCCATCCAACTCTCACACTCTGGCACCCCTCCCACTGCCAGCAAGTCTTTCAAACTGCCGCCTTTGCTTTGGATCTCAGGATTGGCAATTGCCTCTTGTCTCAGGATTGTTTTCCACAAGTGGCTGGAGTCTCAGCCTCCCAGAGTGTTGTTCCACCTGTCCCTGGTGTCCAGCCCTGCTAATCCCCAGAACCAAGTGTAGTGTGGACTCTTGCTCCCAGAGCAGATCTCTAGGGCCAGGTGTGCAGGATTCCTGGGCTCCTATCCCTTCCCTTCCCTGCTCTGTTCCTTTTCCTTCTGCTTGTGGGCTGGCGTGGGGGAAGGGCTTGGGTCCCACTATATCACAGCTCTGCCACTTTACCCTTCTCTGTGTGGGCTTTTCTTTCTCCCCAGGTGTAGGTAGTTTGTTCTGCAGTATTCAGGTTGTTTTCAGGGTGAGTTGTATTTGCCATAGTTTCTTCCAAGGCAGGGGGTCTCTGCCCTGCCTACTTACCCCACCGTCTTTTTCTCCACCTCTCCAGAATGTCTTTAATTTTTTTTCTGTTAGAATTCTGGAATGGAGAGGAGAACTGAAAGACTTTTTGGTTTCATGTAGAATTTGGCACACACAAAGAATATTTTTCCCAAGTGCAAATTTGAGTTTTCAATTTATTTGATTTCCCATGAACTAAAGAAATGTAATGGTTTATAAGCCTTGTTTTTAATTTGAAAGAACTGTCATATGATTGCATACTGTTATTTGTATGTTATACTCCTGCAAATCTTATTCATCTTTTGGTTTGGAAGGTAGCAATGGGATTGAGCCAATTGGCATTACACAGGTACCATGTAATAGGCATTTAATTGAGCACATGCCTGGAAGGAAACAACAAATTAAACATTTGGGTAGAATATTTAATGTATTAAACATCCAACATGGAAGGGTAAGTCAATGGTTTTTCTCTCTACTTATTGTGCACCTGAAAATAGCTCTCATACCACCTTGCAAAGGCTCATAAAGCAAGGGCTTCCATATGTGTCTCTTCATTGAAAAGTTAAGTGCTGGTCTAAAGGATTATGGCCCAAAGGAGAGTGTGAGTGAGCTGGCAAACTAGAGAAAAAGTCCTACCATTTCTCCTCTTCTCCTTAAATGATTTACAGTGTGACCGAATCTGTTTCATCTCCATGAACCCTCCACCATCCTACAGCATAGAAGTCTCTAGATAATACAATAGCCCCTGTTATCTCCGGGGGCTACACTCCCATTCCTGCAGTGGATGCCCAACATTGCAGATAGTACTGAACTGTATATATATTGTGTTTTTTCTAATACATACATACCTATGATAAAATTTAATTTACAAATTAGGCACAGTAAGAGGTTAACAACAACTAATAAAATAGAGCAATCATAACAATAATCTGTAATAAACATTCTGTGAGTGTGGTCTGTCTTTCAAAATATCTTACTTTATTGTACTTATTTGCACTGTTCTTGTGATGCGAGATGATAAAATGCCTATGTGATGAGATGAAGTGAGGTGGATCATGCAGGCATTGTGACTTGGCATTAGGCTACTATTGACCATCGTATGATCCATCAGAAGGAGGATCATCTGCCACTGGACTAGAGTTGACCTGGTGTAACTGAAACCGTGCATAAGTGGGGAATACTGTGTTTGCAGAACTTGGCCCCTGACAAGTATTTTTTTTTTAAACAAATAGAATATCACTTCATAAGTAGTGGTTTTTAACATACAAAATATAAGACTTCTGAGACAGCTTATATTCTGAACTATGCTTATATTCAAGGGTTCAGATTAGCAAAACAACTACCAGAGCTTTGACAAACCTTTAGAGATAGAAACAATGTTGAGGACTAGTGTGCTGAGAAAACAGAAGTAAGATTCAGAAAACTTATATGGGTTTTCTTATTGATAACTGTATATCTGAAAACCAGTTCATTCAGTCTCAAATTTGGATTCAGGGAATGTTGTGTGCCAGGCATGATGCTATATTTGGTATTAAAAAAATGGTACCTCCCTCCAAAGGCTTTCAGGTCTGGTAAGAGACAAAAATAAATAATATTTAGTCATTGTGACTAAAATTTGTGTTGGAAGATGATACTATCCTTCTCCTTCCATTCTAACCTCTCTGGTGGGAAGACTCTGCAGAGCTTTGCTGCAGCAGGTCATAGGCCCTGTAGGTAGACAGAAATAAAGTGGCCATGTGAGCCCCACCTCCTAGTGTTCATACTGTTGGGGAGGAAGAAATTTCCTCTTGAGGTTCTTCTAGCTGGTCTAAGAATCATATTGACATGAGACAGATTAACAGGAGAAAAAAACCCAAAGTTTAATTATGTATGTACAGGGAAGCCATAGACATGGATTCCAAAGATAGGGAGAATAAGGTATATATGTCATCCTGAACCAAGGAGAAGGGGGTAGGGGTCTGAGACTTCAAAGAAAAAGGGAAATAATTCACAGGAATATAAAAAGAGTAACTGCTTGGTAATCAAATTCTGGGCCCCACAGTAACAAGGAAGGGGTACAAAGAGGAATTCTAACAGACTTAGCCACATCCCTCCCTGTCCACCACACCTAATTCACATTATAATATAGCCATCTATGGTGAGAGCTCTTCTGGAGTACTTTCTCTATCTAAATTCTTTTATGAAGTTACTGGATGGGATGTACAAGTTTCTTTCTGAGTCTTGGGTCTCGATTGTTCTCAACTCTGAAATAATCTGCATGTCACAATGGCACATCTTGGGGCAGCCTGCCCTTGGCCCCCACAATACCCTTGCATTGTCCCTTTCTCTTGAGTATGAGCAGCACCTGTGAGCTGATTTTTACCACTGGAATATGGTAAAGGCAATGGGACGTATGTGATCACATTTATGTGTTGACGTAAGACTATTGCTTCCATCTTCCTAGAGTCTCTGTCACTGGCTTTGAATCGGCAAGGCCCCAAGGAACTGAATGCTATCGCCGTCCTGAGCATGAGGAAGCAGGCGCTTTCTCAGCTGAATCTCAGAAGAGAACCCAGTCTTGGCTGGCACTTTGATTATGGGCTTGTGAGATCTAAGCAGAGGACCCAGCTAAATATGCCCAGACTATTTCTGATTCACAGAAATTGTGAGATGATAAATGTGTTGTGTTTTAACTGCTATGTTGTGCTGATTCATTATATGGCAAAAGGAAACTAGCCCAATCCCCAGAGCCACATCCCTGCCCTCCCCAGAACAAGGGGGGCTTGGTGTTAGTTTCAGCATCGGCTAAAACAGCAGAAGTAAGAACCAGATCATGGGGGGTGAGGGTGGGGAAAAGAGGCACGCTGGTTTCATCCAGGCTGAAGAGTTTATACCTGATCCAAGAGACCCTGGGAGACCTTTGAAGGGTTTTCAAAGGAAAAAAGGTTTAGATTTATGGGCTCTGATTTCCCAATAAAAATGAGTGGGGAAAACCTGACCCTGAAATTTGCCCTTGTTGCCTGTAACCCTGGTTCTGTGCTCTCTTCCCCTCCTGGGCGAAGGGCCTGTTCCCTGCCTTGGCCATTGCCGCTGAGCCCCCCTTCACACCTCCCAGGCGCTACCATTTCTCCTCTTCCCGTTAAATGATTTACAGTGTGACCGAATCTGTTTTATCTCCATGAGCCCTCCACCTTTCTATAGCATAGAGGTCTTTAGGTAATACAATAGCCCCTGTTATCTGCGGGGGCTACACTCCCATACCCACTCTCATCTTTCCCCAAATCCCAAAGAATTATTTCTAGATCTTTCTCCTGATGTACTCCACCACTTTCAAAGTTTCTGAAGATAAGGGGGAAGAATACATTATTGGCCTTCAGAAAGCAGCTTCAAAGATACTCCAACTGAAAGCCTGCAGAGTTGAGACGTTCTGGATGAGTCCTGAAGGGAGTCCGTATCTGGCAGGCAAATGAAGCTCAAGGGTGCGGGTAATATGCCTCAGGCACACAGACCATCCAGTCTCTGTCTGAAAACTACTTGAAAAAAATTGCCCATTTCTATTATTGCCACTGATGTAGCTTTGTTCTCACTGACACATTTTCAGTAAATGTGTGAGAGAAATATATTCTTGTTGCACAACTATGACATTCCTTTCTTGGTGTTACTGATTTTTAAACTTTGTGAAAAAGACTGTTTTCTAAACCTTATCAAGTTTATTACTGTGACTAAACAAAGTTGTTTTTAGATTCATCACCATCTTCCTTTTTTTTTCTGACTTGGTGGTTTGTTTGGGGTTGATTCCTCCTTTCCTTCCCCCCCAATCCTTGTAGGTTCCTCCTTCAATCTGTTCTAACCTTTTTATCTACTCATCAAGCAGTTTAAGTGGCCTGATGACCCAGAGGCTGAGAATCAAACACAACTCAGAGTCATCCCTCCTTCTGTCTCTCACTGGACGATGGCAGTAGCCTCCTGGCTGGTTTTCCTGAATCCCCCTTTTGTCTTCCTCCAACCCTTTCTTTTCACAAAAGCCACAGTCATGATCTAATGGCCGCAGGTCTGATCAAGGCACTCCCCGACTTAGTATTCCTCCTTGAGCCTCACAGCGCCTAGGGCGGAGGCCCCACTCGTGCTGGGGCCCCTGGGTCCTTCTCTAGCCTCACGGCCCTCCGCTCCCCCGACCCCGGTCGCTCCTGTCCTGCCACTGGGCTCAGGGTGGCTGCGTGCAGCTCTGGAGCGGACTGCACAGCGCCGCCACCTCGGACTCCTGGCGTGCTGCTCCCCTTTCCTCACACACGCTGTGCCCAATTCTCATTTGTCTGCCCGCCAGCGGGAGGTGGGGAGGTGACTCTGACTCCAAGACAGGATGATATGCCCCAATTTCTCTGTGCGTCTGCATGTTAGTCCTTATATAATAATGGCCTGTTTGTTTCCTCCCCATCCCCAGGCTAAGGGTGGGAACTTAATTCCTGGTATAGTTCCATGTGCAATGTAACAACATAATGGCCTAGATCATGTAATAAATGCATCCTGTGTGTTTTCATGGCCTAGATTTAGGCTCTGTAACTCTGGGGGTTGGGGGCGGATATCTTTCTCCTAGCCCAGGACAAATTACCTTTGAAATCAAAATCAAAGGGAGATACAAAGTGGGAGAAACCTGTTTACTGCTTACAAGCAGTTGTCCACTCCCAACTGGCTGCACCATGTCTCTCACCAACTGGCTGCAAAAATGGGGCCCCACCAAACTTCTCTGGTCCTGTTATACCCTTGCTCCCCCACCCTTATAATCACCTACTCTCCACCCTTGGAAACACCTATTAATTTGGAGATGCACAAGGCCAGGTGAGAGATTCTGGAAATATTGCAGTTTTCCCACAGGCTCACAGGCCACATGGCTGGGGTTCACTTTCCAACCACACACAACATGGAGTGGAGAAAGGCAGAGACGGAGCGTCTCAGCCTCTAAGGTTTTTTGTTTTTTTTTTTTACAAGAAAAACCTTGTATTTTTTTTTTTTTACAAAAACTCGACTGCTGGGCGGTCTGTAGTGTGTCACTCTCATCTTCCCGGTGGCTGGGTGGCTGGCTGGCTGGCTGAATTCCCCAGGCCTAGGTCCTGCCCAAGTGGGGACTCAGTGGGGCCCTCCAGTGGTGACTGCCTCCAATGCCCAAAGGCTTACCCTTGCTCAGAGGCCTCCCAGAGGTGGCACCCAGATTCCTGGGGGATTTTCTATTGGAAGCAGAGCACCTCTAGCAAACAGGAGTGCAGCCCTGCTGGACTCGCTAAGTGGTCACAGCAGCTCACTCCCTACCGAGTTTTTTAGGTAATTTGTGCAAATGGCATTTCCTGGAAACTCAGATCAGCTGCCAAGGAGGGCTTGTGGGTAAAAATCTGAGAATGCTTTTCATGGCTGATTTAGGATTAAAGGGAGAGAAGTTTGTTGAAGGCTGCTTGGCAGGTCTGAAACTAGTCCTGTAGGTAGAAAAGGACAGCTCAAGCTGGACTCTAGACCTGTCCCTTGAACCTGAGCCTCTTGGTCTCTCAATGCCTGGGGCCCCTGGCCTGTTGTCCTTGGTTACCTGCCCCAAACCTGGGGTTCTGTCCGGAAGCTCCCCATGGTACCTGCTACCTTGCCATCCTGTTCACTTTCTCAGTGAGGCTACCTGCTGCTCCTGGATTTCTGGACACTGTCTCCCCACCCTTCAGAAGGGCCAGGTGACAAATGTTGGACCTTCCTGTTGCTGGTGGTTGTGCTGGATGGCTTTGCCTTTTGTCTGTGGAGACCCTCTTGGAATCCTTGGTCTGTTTGTGCCGAGAATCCCCACTCATCCCCTGTGGGAGATTTTACCCAGTTCCTACAAGCCAGTCTTCATAGCCGACAATCGGTTTGCCCAATCCTGAGATAACCAGAAAGCAGTTTAATGTAAATACATAACCATGGCCAGAGCTCTCAGTAGTGGGGCAGGTCTTTTGAAGAGAAGGTGGCCTTTAGAATTGCCATTTCACTCAGCTTTTGGAAGGCAGAGGTGGGAAATTTCAATAAATCAAACATGTAGGTGTTGCCCCCAAGTGGCACAAAAGAGATTAGTTTCCCACAATCACTTTCTATTAATGGCACCTTAAAGGCTTGATGGAGGTGGTGTTTTAAAAAATGACATCAAAGTAATAATGTATTTGGAAATCGGGGAACTCATATCTACAATTATTTTGGATTTGGCAGAGTTAAAATCCAGTTACCCTCACCCCAGCGCATACACTTGTGCCCTGCCCCACCCTGTCCCTTTATAGCCCCACAGGATTTTTAACCTGGGCTGAGTCTGGAGGGGGTTGGTCAGCTTCTCCTTTCTCCATCATGGACACACCTGGGCCACCTTTATTTTCCCTCCTGACATGATTGTGCTGTTCTGAGTAGTGTCCTGAGACCTTTTTCTTGCTGTCTTAGGTCATTAACTCACTTCTGCAAGACAGAGTACTAGTCTGGGAGACAGGAGAGTTCAAGTTCTAGACCTAGTCCAAGCCGCTAAACCAGGACCTTGGGCATGTCCTGGTTTCCTCATCCATACATTAAAGGAAGTAACTGAAATACCTGAGTATTTCACCTTTGAATTGGATATGTCACCCTGTCCATTTCAGCCCTTCCTGCCATTCCTCTCCCTATTCCTAAGGGAAGCCCGCAGCTTGCCTACAGCTCCTGCTGCCCAGGCAGGCCTGTCTCACAGGCCTGTCTGAGAAGTCCCTCCCTCCTACATCTCTCTCCATCTTACAGGCCTAGGGATCGGTTTATGACCCAAGAGAAGTTGCTTCACAAGCTGGCTTTGTTGTCAGGCTTAAAGAAGATGACCTAATTCATCTCTCTTTTTTGTTTTTCTTTTTTGAACAAAGGAGCCCCAAAGGAATTTTCTAGTTACCAGTAAAGATAGAAGAGATTCCAGACCCTACAATACTCAGCTGAACTTCTTTTCTATCCTATCTTTAAGACTTAATGCTCCATCCATACAATACTCTTGCTTTACCTGGACAGAGAATCTTGAGTAGCCTTTGGGAGTGAGAAGATGAAGCTTCTCTTCAGAATTTCTAAGAGTTAGTGGGAGAAACAGACAAGTAACCCATCTTCAACCTGTTGCCACTTCAGGACCATCTAATATCCTAGAGGAAGAGGGAGTTAGTCTCAGATCTCCTTCTGGGCTGCCCACACTTCAGCTGTCTTCTCTATGGTATGTTGATAGAAATCCAAGTTCAGATTCCAGAACTGCCATTTACTGGCTATGTGCTATTGAACAAATAACCTCTCTAGATCTCAGTTACCGCACCTGAAAGGTGGAGATAATGATCACTGATATCTCATAGGACTGCTGTGAGAATTATGTAGGCATGATAATTTGCTCTGCTGTTCAACTCCTGGCTTTTGAGCATGACTACCTACCTGGGCAAAGATCACTCTTTCATACCTCTCTACGGCTTCAGTGTGTGTTTTACAATTGTTATCAATCAGCTGATTAGGGGTGGAACCCAAGGAACAGAGGAAAGGGGCCTGCCCCAAATCTTACAGCACATCCAAGGTAGGAACAGACACAGGATTTTCTTCCTTTGGCTCTTGGCCTAGTTTCTTATTCTTCCTTATATTGCCTCTCTGTATGAATGTGCAT